ATTTCACCAGCGCTGTGTAGCGAAGGCGTACAAGTTGAGCAAGTGAGTCCTCTAGAAAACGTCGGATGCCAACAAACAACAACGAATGACAGCCTGTTTCTCGTTGCCTTCTTGGCACCGCAACGTACTCTTATTTGATCGAGTGCTCACCAGTAACAAAAAAAATGTGTCCTATATGAAACTTGCATGCGTGCTTGGCATTGCTTGCCACCATGGACCATGTGCCTTACACCACAAGGCTACAGCTACACCCATACAAGATTATGTTCTGTAACTGGTGAAGTAGACGATAAAGTGATACACTATGAACTGCTGCCAACGGGCAAAACCATCACTGTGGACCGCTACTCGCAACGTGTGTAACAGGCACTGAAGCAAACGGAGCCAGGATCGCAAGGGTTTACTGTTCTTCCATGACAATGCTATGCCTCATGTGTCGCGGAAATAAGGGATACCATACGGTGATTTGGCTGGGAGACAATGTGCCATCCACCTTAGTCCGCAGACTAACAGATTACGACCTCTTCCATTCCCCTGAAAACCACTTTCCTGGGAAATCCTTCGCAAAATAGGCAGACTTACGGCAGGGCACTCACAGATTTCTTTACGACCAAGACCTGGTATTTAGCGCCGATGCTGGAAGCTCGTTGACAAAGGGTTTCCGATATAGATGGGCATTATTTTGAGGAATAAAGTTATGTCAAATTTGCTGTATAGTTTTTTCTAATAAATAAAATACGGCAAGGACTTTTTTGGTTACTTTTACACACACACACACACACACACACACACACACACACACACACACACACACACACACACACATATATATATATATATATATATATATATATATATATATATATGATGAGAAAATAAGGTATATTTTGTTCCGGAAAAAGAAATTGAGCAGTGCATTTCTGAATTATAAGTTTTTAATAAAATCATTTTTATAATTTTTGTGAAACTCAAAGTCGGGACCATATATATATATATATATATATATATATATATATATATATATATATATATATATGGGGTGGATATTAAGGATTAGTATCGTTGTAGCGAAACATAGTTATTAACAATTACGCCTTGCTAAGCCGTATATTTTATTTTATAAAACATTCGATGATTTAAGCCGGTAAGAATTAAGTTTACTCTTTGTAAATGAACGGGGGTGTATCCTCAAAGACGTGTCGCCACTAAAAGTATGTATACATACTGAGTGCGATCGATAAATTATCGCCTAAATTACGCAAAAATGAAATTAACATTTAATATCTCATTTTAACAGAATGTCAGTCGACATCTTCTGATGCCTTGATTTAATTTCCCATCCATCTCTTTATCCTTTCCTCAAACATGCCTCTTTACACTCGTTCCCAACCCTCTGTAACCCCTTGCGTGCTAGTGGCACTCCCGCCTTGCTTGGTGGAAACTTATATATATATATATATATATATATATATATATATATATTTACCAGAATGACACAAAAATATCTAGAAATACTAAAGTATAAATTTATTCAGTAGAATCGCCATTGGCTTCATCCATGGCCTCCAGACGACTTCAGAATCTTTTACATCTCTTCTGTACGATCTCCTGCTTGTGTGGCATGGTGCAGAGTCCTGTTGTCAGACATAGGGTCTTCCAGCAGCCACACTCTTGACGTAGAATAGTGCTACCTACTCAAGGTACTTGATGTAGGCCTCCGTGTTGCGTCGAAAGCTCAAAGGGAAGTTGAATGTAGGAATAGATGCCATCACTGATGATCACTCCAAACACTTTCGTAATCACATTTAGATTCATCCAACTCTTTCCGAAACCTTAGCACTGTCATAAGATTGACACCCAAACGCTTTGAAATGTTTGTACTGGTGAATCCGGCGCGAATGCCAAACAGAACAGCATGCCGTTTACAAATTTCTGGCGTAGAGAATTACGTCATGGTTGACTTTTTCTCACAGACGTTGCCCAACTGATGTTACTATACTGTGCAGTTGACAAGATAAAAAAAAACAAAAAAACAAACAAATAACGCGCACGCGCGAAATTGAAAATATAAAATGGCGACAGTTTACCCAGTGCACCCTGTTATGTATTCACCACATTGTTGAGTATGACTATCACAAAATATCATTTAAAAAATGAGTTGAGGCTTGAAGTAATATGGCTATTTAAACAGGACAGCCTCTAATATATTTTTTCTTAAAAATATGACTCAGAAATATATGACTCCACGTTGGCAGACATGAGAAACATATATGTTTTTGTGACTGTATGTCTTTTTATTTCAATACCTCACTTGCAATCTTATGATGGATCCTCAGTACTTAATGCCATTTGTAGTCGGTTGGTGCTCTTGTAGGATAACTTCGCATATGATTCAGTATACTTGCTTTTTACTGGAGTATGGTGGAGTAACGGATAGCGACTCGGATTGAGGAATCGGAGAGCTGAGTTCGAATTCTAGTCGAATCCATTACATTCACTTACGTGCTAATATCCTTGGGAAAGGTATGAATCCTCTTCTTCTCCCTCCAGCTATAGGTAAGTAGAAGGACAAATCGGGTTCTATAGCCTTGGATGGCAACTGGTTTACCTCCGAAAGTAATGGCATACTACTACTAAAAACATGTGCCTCGTCAGTCATGTATCCAAAGATACATGATCGCCTAAGCGTGTATCATGCATGGCACATACCTAGATAGCTGCTTTTTACAGACGCAGGTCCAGCGTGCCATCTATATGGCCTGAAAGTTCCACATGAATAACTTTCGGAGATTTCCTTTCAGCTTTTCTTTCGCAATACGAGAACTTTCGAAAACAATCTTTCCATTATGAACCATCATTCACCAGGTGCTACAATCGTTTTCATAGAACTCCCAGATATATGAACTGATGCTTGAAGGCCTGGATATGACGATAAACTACATCCAGTTTCAAGCCCTCTGATTTTGATGTCGAAGCTTTTAAGGAGTATGGAACCACTTCTTAATTAATGTTCTTCCCAGGTCCACCCTGTTATTCATCATGACGGTCGTCTTCGAGTATAGAATCCAGAGGTTAGCAGTGAATATTTTGGTAAAAGTAGCAGAGCATAGTTCGTCCTTCTGTTTCTCTTCGCCTGACAAGCTGGACTGGACATTCGGATAGAGTGAACAAAATGGCCGCCTTTATACACGACGGATTGAATGTTCTACGTCTTCTGATTGGTTAACCTTCTATTGGTGGATTATAAAGTGAGTTAAATCATTTGAGCTAACTCACTAGATATATAATAATATATACACAAAAACTGTAACACACCCTGACACGGGCTGTTAGCGCCTGTTAGGGTCCCACCTATGGGCAAACAGTGAATGCCCAAACAAAAGCAAAACACTATGAATGTATAAAAAATACATATTTATAGTAAAAATACCAGCAATAGATTTATATATAAAAAATGACCAACAATAACTTTTAATAATAGAATTACTAACACTACATTCTACAGCAAAATGATTAAGAATACATTTTACCTGCAGTCGAAGGCATACAATTGCGTTCAAAATATATTTAGTTGAACTTATAACACTTTGTTCAAAATACTTAGGTTTCAGCTTTAATTAACCCATAGAGGTGTTGATATGTCGCTAAACAAAATTAATCAACCAAACAACCAACATGAAAGAACTTTTCATGGCATTAATCCTTAGCGTATCCTACAATTTCTTAAAGAAATCCAACTGTTTTGCAAAATGTAACTTCAAAAGAACATAAAATACTCATATTACCGCCTTTAGTAATTATGGCCGCACAAACATGTAGATGCAAAAAATTTGAGTATCATCTACCATGTATCCAAATGTGAAAACAGAATAACATATATCATATTTTTATTACTTCAAAGCTCCTAAGAAAATTAAATTTCCAAACTAAATGATATACAAGGAGTTGATATGCCGTTAAACAAACCGATCAAATAAATATTTATATATTATAAATTAATTGATTTAAAATATGTTTTTTTTCGCTACACAGTACTAACCATGTTTCAAAAATGGAAGCTAAATGCCCCGAATTTAATTACAAAATTAAATTAAAGACATTAGTTCATTTCATCATCAAACGAATTGGTTAGAATTGAAATGGAATGTAACTAAAAAACATATTTTTAAATCAATTAATTCAATTCAATTAATGTCTGTAAATTTACATTGAGTACTATTTTGTAAAAAATATCTATAAGAACACCGGATTATATATCTTACTGTTTTTTTTATTTTTACACATACACACACACACACACACACACATATATATATATATATATATATATATATATATATATATATATATAAGTTAGTAAGGTTGCAACAGTTCCGAGTTGCGACGACTCGTGGTTACGATGCAATATCTATTAATCTTGTTTCGACTTATGTTATTTGCTTCGTACATAGGGCGCGGCGGAAGAATATATTGCTCAGCGGAAGAATACGTCGTCATAGGGCGCTATAGTGAAGAAGGTGGCATGGCTCAGTTCTTGCTTGTACGCCATATTGAAATGTTGTCCATTGGCTTTTTAATTTTGTGCAGTGTTTGTGGAAGCCTATTACCTTTCATTATGGCTCCCAATGGTTGTGTAACCTCTTCTGATGTCGGTGTTTCGAAGAAAAAGAAAGCCATCACCAAGTAAGTGAATTTAGACATTGTTAAACGTTCTGAAAACGAAGAAACAGCGACGGAAATTGGTAATTCTGTCCATACAAACAAAGCTGAGTATCATCTACCATGTATTCAACTGTGAAAATAGAATAACATATATTTTTATAACTTCCAAGCTCCCAAGAAAGTTAAATTTCGTCATTAAATGACTTCTTAACCCTCTTTGCATTTCATCAAAAATCTCTAAATACGTAACAAAGGCACCAGACCAGATGTGAAAGTAATATTCAATACATGGATGAATGGTAGCCTTATAAAGGTGTTAAACTCTGGGAAATAAATATTAGCAATGTTGAAACACCGGGCCTCGTAAGATCGCTGAAATTAAGCAACGTCGAGCCTGGTCAGTACCTCGATGTGTGAGTGCTTTGGAATACCAGACCCTGTAAGCTTGGGTGCGCGGGTGGTGTAATGGAAAACGGTTCCAAATTGGAAATCAGAAAGTCGAGTTCCAATTCTACGCAGGTTCGTTACGTTCAGATACCCTTATTTGTTAATTAGCAGAACTTGTGTCAGTAAATCATTATTATCTTCTTCCACCATTTTTTAAATCTAAAAATATTTGTTGACTTTAAATAAACTGCAAAAGATTGGTAAACAAATCAATCAATCAATCAACAATTAGTCAAGAAATCATGGCAATCAACAAAATAATAAACTCCTTACTGCATAAATGAGCAGTAGACAAAATGGATGGCCAAATGAAAAATACTTCTTGAAGATGAAATCGAGGCTATGATACAGGTGTTGAAATTTTATATTAATCAAATAACGAAAAAAAGAAAAAGAAAAGAAAGTGAAACGTTAATCATTCCTTTGATTACCTTTTTATATACGGTGTTCAGTTTGTTTCATTTTTTGAAACTATTTATTTTTCTTGCTCATTTTTTGTTATGTTTTCTTTTTTTAAATTTTGCCTTACATGTCGTCCACAATTCTCCATTTTTATCGTCTGCTTTCTTCATTCTTTTTCGTGCAATTTTTTTATAATTCCTTACAATTAGTTTTTTTTTCTTTTTGTGTTAACTCTTTCATTATTCTGTTTTTAAGTTTCCACCAGGAATATTTTATCATTTTTCTTATTTATTTTTTTCTTTTCATATTTTATATAGGGAAAGGGATTTTTCTTGTTTTCAAATGTGTTTTTACTCACTAATAAGCTCGTTGTTATAACCCCTTTATTGAAAATGTTCTTTTTCCTTTTCAGTAACTCCCTTATGTCTTTCTTTTCTCGGATCACACCTGCTTTAGAAATGTTCAACAACAAACATTTCCTGTCTAAATTCATAGTTCTTTCTTTGATTTTATTTTTTACCATATTCTCTATTTCATCCATTTTCTTTCTGATATTGTTTGTTAAATTTGTTTCTTTTCGACTAATCAAATTCGTTTTTCCTTCGTCCCATATTTCATCGTCATTTTTTTTACATGCCATTGATTCACTTTAGCGAATTCCAGAGAAGAAATCAGGTTTATCGCTTTCTCCATGTTTGTTTTTAAACATTTATTTCTGCGGATCATTTTTTGTTCAATTATTTCCTCAAATTTCCAAGCCGTCTTCTCCCGAGCAAGATTACTCAGTGTTTCACAAGCCCAAATCTCTTTTCGGATTATGATTAATCTAAGTTGGAAAAGGTGGTTTTATCGCATTTGTTGGGGAATAACGAGATCAAAAAGAAAATGGTCAACAGAAGATAAAAAAAAATGACGCTCAACTCGAAGCAATATTAACGAGTGGCTTTCGTCAGGAGGAAAAAATTGTGACGTCGTTATTAGAATTACTATTTGCTTTTGTAGTAACTAAAGTTTCAACAGATATTAAACATAAAATTCATATATAAATAATAATTATTCATTTCTTTATAATAATAATAATGATAATTATACTAATTATTATTATTATTATTATTATTATTATTATTATTTACTTTGATTATTATTATTTACAAAAAAAAAAAAAAAAACAAACACACATATTTTTGAACACACACACATATTTTTCTAAGGTGTAGGCTGTACCAAGTAAGAACAATATTTCTTTCATGGGTGAACTTCAATGTGTTTAATGGAAAAAAAAAAAACAATTAAAAAACAATTTATTACTATTATTATTATTATTATTATTATTATTACTATTATTATGACTGTTGTTGTTGTTGTTGTTGTTATTATTATTATTATTATTTTAAATTAAAACGAGACACAGAAACATCATATTTTTCGATAAAGGTGTAAGGTGGCTGTACTAGTGAGAACAATTTTTTGTATTTCTTTAAGTCATGGGCTTCCAGGAATCCCTTCAATTAGTCTACTGGACTCCAACCAACTACAAGAGGGATTGTTGATGTTCCCATGTCATTTTTGCAGAGATTTAGATTTGAAGGTCCTTATATTTTGATAGCTTTTTCAAGATCTTCAATATACAAGTAAGTCTTGCCATATCAATAAAGAGGCACACATTTTGTCGGTTAGCTTTGATTTCTGACTGTGTGTATTGTTTAGTCCTAATAAAATTGTTACAGGTCCTTTCTCCATAACTGGTGTTTATAATTTCTTGCAGTTTCCTTCCTGTTATTGTAGTATTAGTGCAGATATTGACCCAGTCTGTCATGCCGGGTTTTATATTGTCCTAATATTAAACTAATATTAAACTTCCATCCATTATTAATAATACTTTAATAATAATAATTATTATTATTATTATTATTATTATTATTATTATTATTATTTCTGTTATGGACACACCATGCATGGAAAGACCTAAGGCAGGTTGTGGTTGTTGTTATGGCCACATTTCATGTTAATTTTTTTTTTTTTTTATATCTCCGATGAAGTTTAGCGTTTAGACAAAGTTCTCCTTAGTGTGTGTGCTGTACTTAATAAGACAATTTTCTGTATGTCTCTTAAGCTGGGGTTTCCAGGATTCTTTCAAATGTTGTTTTGTTCCATTTTTATAATTCCAAGTGCACCTATTACCACTGGTATTATTCTTGTTTTCAATTTCCACATTTTTTTTTCTATTTCAATTTCCAGGTCTTTGTATTTTGATAGTTTTTCAAATTCCTTTGGTTGCTATGTTACAATCCGCTGGACAAGCTTCATATCAATTAGTAGGCAAGTTTTTTTTTCTTTCTGGTTTTTTGACAATGATGTCCGGCCCTTCAATTTTTCTGTCTGTGTGGATGGTATAATCCTACAGAATGGTGACATCTTCTATTTCTGTAACCGCACTCGATGTTCATACCAGTGTTTGCTTACACATTTTCCAAAGTGTTTGCACATTGTCCAGTGTAAGTATTGCCCCCTCTATCGTGACGATTTTTATATTCATTTGGGGCAAGTATAGAACATCCTGAGATTAGATGGTCTATTGTTTCTTGGTATTTGTCACAGAACCTGCATTTTGATCCACATTATTATGTATGATTTTGTGAAAATTCCTAGTTCTGGTCTTGCGCTGCAAGAATAAAGCCTTCAGTTTCAGACTTTAATCCAGATGCTCGTAACCATCGATGAGTATTAACTTTATCAACCCGTTCTGGATATTGGCCATGCAGAGGTTTGTCTTGCCAGCGTTGTTTCATCTGTTCAAGGGCTTTATCCTTATGGCTTTCTTTTCATATCTTTTGCTGCAATAGTTGGTTCTTGGCTTCATTTATTACAGAATCTACTAAATGTAAATGTTGTTTGTATTTACTGCCTTCTTTTTATTATTGAATATTTTTCTTTCTGTTTTCATGTTGTTTCACTAATTTTATCATCCAGTCATTTGTTGTTTCCATGTAAGTTAGTAAGCCAATAGTTGTTGTCTTGTATGACAATTCTAGCTGAATAAGACCTCTTCCACCTTCTTTTTACGGGGTATTTTCAGCCTTTGGATGATGCATCTTATACTTAGAAAGAAGCTTTCTTGTTTTAGAATCCATTTGTCTGATGTCATTTAGAGTCCAGTTCAAGATGTTGAAACTATATTGGACCACTGGGATGGAGGTTATTAATTGCCATAATTCTGTTCTGAGAATTCAATTCAGTTTTTTAATACCAGTCGTACCCTTCTATAGTACTCTTTACGCACTATTTCTTTTTCATTTTCTTATGGTGAATTCCTTCACTTCATTTAACCTAGGTACTTATAAGCTTCTCCTTGTTCTAAATCTTTTTATTGTTACAGCAGGGTGTTAATAGACTGATCCTCGTAAAACTGTAGCTTTAGCACATTTATCCAAATTGAATTTCATTCCAATGTCTTCACTGAAGCATTTTTTACAGTTTGAAGAAGACCTTCCAGCTCATTGTCATTCCTAGCATACAATTTTAAGTCATCCATGTAAAATAGATGGTTTATTTTTCTTTGAGTATTTTTAACCGCATTCTGTCTTGTTAAGTTGGCTGGTTAATGCTATAAGTGATATGCAAAAATAATAAAGGAGACAAAGAGTCACCTTGAAATATTCCTCTATTGATCTTGCCAGACTTATAGGTTCCATTTTTATGATTGAGGTAAAGTGTAGTTTTCATATCGACATACATTGTTTGATGAAATTGATGATAACGGGTGATACCTTGTACATACTTTTAAAGACTTTAAGATCCAGGAATGTGGTACACTATCGAATGCTTTACGATAATCTATCCAGGCAATACTAATTTTTTTTTTTCCACGGAAGCAGTTTTCCAGGATCATCCTATTAATAAGTAATTGGTCTTTACATCCGTAGCAGCCTCGTTTGCATCCTTTTTGTTCAAGTGGTAGTATGTCATTTTTTCCAAGAAGAAATATGTCTGTTTTGTTAAAATAGATGTTAACAGTTTGTATGTTGTTGGAAGACATGTAATTGGTCTATAGTTTTCGAATATTTGTGTCACTATTTTTGGGTAGAAGAAAGGTAACTCCTTTGGTCATCCATGCAGGAATTTTAGTTGGATCGGTAACCATTTCTTGAAGTTCTTTGGCGAGTTTTTTGTGCTGTATTTAAATAATATAGCCAGAAGTTAGAATTTTATCTATTCCTGGAATTTCCAGTTGTGTGCTTTTTTCAGTGCCATTTAACATTTTCTGTGATTCTGCCCATGTCTGTTCTGGTTTATTTTTTCATTCGTTCTAATCCTTGCGCAATCCAATCTGCCCTCTTCGTTGTGTTCTTTAGGGCAAGCCCATATTTTTCCCCAGAACTGTATAACTTCTTCCATTTTAGGGGGACTGTTAATTTTTGTTTATTATTTCCCTGTAAAATTTAATTTTGCATCGGTAAAAAAAGATCTTGTTCTGTCTATAGAATCTTGATCTTTTCTCGTAGCGTCTTTTATTCTTTGAGCCTCAGTTGTATTGTTTGCTTTATTTTTTCTTTAGTTGATAGGAATTTTCATTCCTGATATTGTA